TCAGGTATAAAAGCACATTATGAGAATTGTTGTGAAAAGTCAATCTAGAAGGGTCTTTGTTTTGCTTGATTATTATTAACAATGTTATAAAACAAATAGTTTGTTACATTAAAGAAACAGTTCACCCAAAAAAGACATTCTGATGTTGTTCCAAACCTGTATGAATTTCTGTCTTCTAAAAAATACAAAGAAATAGGTATTTTGAAGAAATGTTAAGTAACCACAAACAGTTTCTGGTCCCTATTGACCTCCATAGTATTTTTTTATTCTCCATACAATGGAAGTCAATGGGGACCAGCAACTGTTTGGTTACTAACAGTCTTCCAAATATCTTTTATGTTCAACCGAAGAAATAAACACACATGTTTGGAAGAACTTGAGGGTGAGTAAATAATGACAGAAACTGCCACTTTAAGTATTATTCTTCTCACCATTTTGCAGTGTTTTCTACACAAAACCGCTAAATGGAATACAATCACATATACCACTGTTACTGACATAAATCTACTGACAAACAGTTGCTTTGTTAATTTTTTTATTTTTTATTTTATTAGATCAAGATTCAAAGCTCTGGCATTTAAAGTATATTCTCTAAGCCACTCTGAATCGTGAAAGACAGGTCCAGGAAATCGCTGTATTCTTACTTAATTTCAATCTGACATGGCTCTTTCTACGCTTTCAAAATGCAGCTTACACATTACTGTACATCAAATGCTCTGTCAAAGCGATTTCTGTTTTATTGACACCCAAAGCTAAATCTTTTATCCCTAGCTAAATCTCCGCTTATGGATCTTACTCCTGACATCTGATGAGATAAGCTGTATTCATTGTAAAATAGCCCATACCCAACAAAGGGTATATAACAAAGTATTGAGATGAAATTTTGTTATTGACCAAATACTTATTTTCCACCATAATTTGCAAATTAATTCTTTAAAAATCCTACAATGTGATTTTCTGGATTTTTTTTCTCATTTTGTCTCTCATAGTTGAGGTATACCTATGATGAAAATTACAGGCCTCTCTCATATTTTTGAGTGGGAGAACTTGCACAATTGGTGGCTGACTAAATACTTTTTTTCCCCACTGTACACACCCACCTGTTGCTGCACATCGGCTGAATTCGGCAGCATTTTAATCAGCAATTTAGTGCTAGTAACTTTTGCACCACTCCCATTTTCTGGCTAAATCTGGCTTTGATTATTATTAGTATTAAACAAGTAAAGTCCTCTTTACTCTAACCTTTTTGACTCAAAGGCCCCCATTGTCCAACACAATATTACAGCTGCATGTTCTTCAGTAAAAACAGTAGTTATTTAATTGAATATGATTTGAGTCCACATGTTGATTTTGTGTGTGTGTTTTTTTTTTTAGCATTATAATTTAGATTTAGAAATGAAAGTATTTGATTTGCCTAATAGTAGTTATTGTCAAGCATATAAGTGCTTGATTTTTTTTTTCCCTGTTGGTGATGGATACAATATATTAATAATTAACTTAAATACTTTTTTAAGTCATCCTGCAGCCCCCTTTGGATGTTTTCTGAGGCCCCCTAGTGGGCCCCGGGGCCACTGTTTGAGAACCGCTAACTCTTAACCAATGTAAAATCACTGCATCATGTGGTCATGAATGGCTTATTGCTTTAGTATCTCAGCAGAAATCCCAGCATTGTCTTCTACTTGGGCCTCGTTTATCATTTAACCTTCACATATGATTCATTTTGTATTTTCAGCTATGCTGATAAGCCATTGTTTCAGCTTAGGATGTATGTCTGTATTAAACATTGCGCACTCATGTCATGAAGTGTATGTAAGAGTGAATTTGTTTTATATTAATGAGTGTGTATGTGTGTGTCTGGACCTAATGCTTCTCTCAGGGGTGTGTGAGGCACAGATAAAAGGCCCTGGATATTTAAAGAGCCTCTCTGTGAGACGCCGCTTATCTCAGTGTTACTGTTAGCCAGCACATCCTCTGTCGCCTGCCTGATATTAATACCCCTCTAATGAGAGAAACAGTCACACAGTCTCACATACACAAACCCGCTCTATACTCCTGTGCCACAGCTCCCCAAGGGCCCTGGATACACACATACACTAACACAGAGACAAACACACACCCAATCACATTAATCAAGGCCGTAGGGACACAGACCCGCAACACAGAGTAAATTACAGCAGGAAAGAGCCATGTTTCAGACCGGCCACTAATGATTTCCCATGAGCACACACCACAGAGAGCATTAGGGAAGAATGTGTGGGTGTCTGGGATTAGAGTGGATAGTGTACATGCAGGTTTGCAATTGATAGTTAGAGTAGAATCCATTGGGATGAGTGTTTTAACATGAGCAGAGGAGAGTGTTTGATGTGTCCGGGTTTAAGCAGTACCATTGCTTGAAAGTGGCGATGCTGTTAGTTTAACTAAATTCGCTTTGCTGAATAAATGGTACCATTGCTGTTTTTTAAATCATGAAGTGTTTCAGCAGCCATGCTATTTTATTAAATATTACATTTGAGCAAACAAGACTTGTACAGTATTCTGTTTTAGATTTATAGACATGATTGATTTTACATACGATATGACTCTTCTGATTCGGTTCTTTTCAATAGGTCTGAAACATTTAGTCACAATTCACCCATTTGAGTTAGAAATTAATAAGAGCTGTTCCAGTGTAAATGATTTGGAGGAGGGAACATATTTGAATGTATACTTTGCAGTCTGCAGATAAAGCTGCTTTTCACGTCACAGACTTTCAACACAAATATACAAGTATATTCAGGTGAGGCAACAACAGGTTTACTGCTAACTAGTGAAAGCACTATATTAATATGATGAGTTGCATCCCAAAATACATTTTAGAGGGGTTTAAGGAAGAAGCGTTGTGTATTGTGATTGATGTGCTTGTTTATAGCTTATATCAGCGTTAAAAAAGCACTGGGACTGTAACATATTTTTATAACTCACTCCGCTTGCCTGTTACGTGTTTCAAAAAAATTGTAATTTACATCATTACTCCACCAGGTGGCAGCAAGTCACAGAGTGAGGCAATTAATCATTCATTCAACCGATTTGTTCAAAAACACTGATTCATTCAGCAACAAAGCAAGTGATTGTATTTAAAAGCGAGTCATTGAATCATTCATTGAATCATTCATGCTAAAATACAGGATTCCTACAGGATCTGCCTTCATATGCCTGTGTTATACTTTCCGCATGAGCAATCCGGACGCCTACGCGGACAGCGCAGACGTGGACTACTTGTATTTATACTACGGAAAGCATTACGCTGATGGTCCGCTCTGCGGACGTGTTCCATACTTGCGCAGTAGATTGGCTTGAACAGTAAACAAACATGTGAAGAAACAATTGTCCACAGTTATTGCACATCTGGCTGTCTTTATATCGTTTTATCGACGGATTGTACAGGTTCGAGTAGCAACAGACTTATTCACACAGCTTGCGCATGCGCAGTTGGTGCTTTTGTAGCCTACTGACCGCGCGGACAAGTCACAAAAAATGGGAGGCACGCAGATGTCCGCGCAAAGCCTTGGCGCACACTCTCCTATGATGATTTTTACGTCACGCATACCATAGCGTACTAGCGCACGCAGAAACTATAACACAGGCTATAGTGTAACTATTTCGACTGAAAGTAACTAAAATGTAAGTTACTCATCAAGTCATGTTCTCGTTTATAGAATTACCTTAATTTTTAAAAAGATGTTTTTTAAATAAGCATAATAATAAAGTAAACAATATTGCACATCACTTGTAAGATGTTTTTCCACTTTTTTCATCACATTCTTTTTTTGACAGAGTAGCTTGAACATAGCTTGGCTATTTTTGTATAAAGTAGTTTGTAACTTCGATACCTGCACTTTTAAATAGCTTGGGTTTGAGTGAGATATCATATTACCTGTGGAACCACAGAAAAATACAAAAAAGCAATGGTAGAAAGTGTTGCAGTGCTGGAATATGTTGCGTCAGGATTGCATTTGTGTCGAGGCGCACTGATCCGATCTTCCACCGTACCGCTTTTGTCTCTGTCTGTCTTGTTCTGTGTTTTGCTCTTTTTCTTAATCTCTTTCACACACATACACACACACATTCATGCACATCAACAGTATCTATTTACCCTCCCCTGGGCTGCTTGCTAGAAAGAGCTTCTATTGATCTACTCTGATAATCATGTCGTTTAGCTCAACAGCAGTTTGTTGCTGTATTTGTTGGTGTGTGTGCAAATTTTATGAATGACTGTAGGGTGAATCTAGTCACCCCACCCACTAATGGTTCAGAACATGTTCAAAAGTTTATCTTCTTGTTATGTTTAGCTACAGCGACCAATCCCGCAGTCCGCATGAAGATGTCCTTGTACTATTGATCTCCTGTCCCAGATCCCATCAGAATTCCAGAGCCTGTTTACCCAGACACACACATATTCATTCATGAACAAGCAGGCGCAATATGCCACAAGCATTACATGGCAAAATTACGCCCTGGACCAGGCCCCATGGGAAATTAAGCCAGCGGCAAATCATTAAACCACAAGCTAAACATTAAGAGGCATTTGCATTTTTATTGCACCTGAAAGAATGGCAAGACATTATCCATTATCTCACACAGCCAGTGTGGGAGAGGGGTATTACTATTATTATGTTGTCCCATATAAAAACAATAGCGTTTAGTGCTCATGAGAAAGGGAATGAGAGGCTTGTTTACTTTCGCAACGTCTGCAAAGGGTTATGATTATTGAAAGAGCGCAGCCAGAGTGTCTGACAGACCCAACAATGCCTTGTTTTGTTATGTAAATCCTATTGTCATCAAACCCAAACAAACAAACAAACAGGAGGCAAATGCGGCACCATCAGCCAGACAATTAGCTGAATGGGAAGGAAGTTTTGCAGGGACAGTTTGTCTCATTAATTGCTTTCTCAGCTGGACGTCTTCCAGGACTGTGTCCAAGAGTGATCACATTTAGCCCTCCAATCTTCTCCTGTTCACAGGTGAGCGGGATATGTGCACACGCACCCCCGCGGGTCTCTCGTGCCGTGGCGCTGTCGGCAGAACATGCAGCTGCCTCGTCGGTGCCCCACAATCGTCCTACGGTGAACTTTGACCCCGATGAGACCCTCTTTGGACGGCGCAGGTAATGTTATAATTCAGTTTTCAAAAACTTTGTATGTGAATTAAAAAAAAAACATCAGACAGTTAACATGAAAACTGTTTTCCTAGAGTAATAGTTTAAGTCCTAAAGTTATCTGTGCATTTGCTGTATTTTTGTAAAATGTCTGAACTTGATCTTGAATTTGAGCTTGAATTAAAAGAGAATGTTGAATTTTGTTATATTTTTAAAAAAAAAGTTTAGACTGATGACAAATGAAAGAAAAGGTCTGTCACTACTTCCCTTAGATTGCAACTTTAAATCAACCTGAAAGTGTTGGGAAAAAAAATATTATACTATTATTTATATTAAAGCACCAGTAGGTGGCGGCTCCAAAGAGAAAGGAAAAATTTAAATTGTATCATATGACCCCTTTAATAAGTGAGTCACAGAATCATTAATTTAATGATTCATTCAAACCAGCTGATTCACATGTGAATGAAGCAAGTGACCCCTGTATTTAAGAATTGGTCATTGAGTCATTCAAAAACACTGAAACATTCAAAATGAAATGTCACTCAGTGTTGCTGTGAGATGCAGTTGTTCTGCTTGGTTTCAAACTATTTTCGTTGGCAAAATAGTTTTTGCAAAAACAGTTAATCATCTTGTGATCTTGCATAATCAGAACTTAAATGCAGGCGCATACTTGTCAGGCACAAGCTTAATTGAGAATTGATGCCATGGGCCAAATTTAATTAAAAACTAATATATACATTTTTGTTTTTAAATCTTGCAGAAATGCCACTTATAAGTCAAAGACCAAAAGGGCAGGTATTTGTGCATCACTTTGGGTTTGGCGGTGCACGTGTCTGTTTGCACTTCCAAATATTCTGATTTCAGACCTTGTGCGACAGCTCTTAACACCATATTTGACTGGCTGAACACAAACAATGAATTAAATTCCAGTCTGTTTAAAATAAATGGACATTTTTATGGCACTCACTGTGCTTTTGGAGCTCAACTGCCTCACTGATTCTAATGGCTGACCTTGTTATTCAGCCGTAATGAAACATGAGGATGACCTGACTACTCTTTACTAATCTTTTTTTTCAGCTCTTAAAAATGCCAATCAGCAGCTGAAAATACAAATGTTCTTGTTTTTATTTGAATCTCTTGAGAGTCCTCAAGTGCTCTAAACACTCCAAGAGGACTGCAAAGCATTGCTGTTATAGAATTGACAGCAAGTCAATTCAGTGAAAATCTAATGAGTGTATAATAAATCTGAGAAATAGGAATTGCAGTCAACCATAATGCCGTTCTCATGCATCTCTTCATACAGCTCACATCTTCTGATGCTGTTTGTGTGGAGTGCATTGAGATGCTGTGATAGACTCTCCACTTCAGCACTCACACTCTCTCCTCCTCTGGCTCTCTCTCTTCCTTCATGTTTTTTCTGTATAGATCTTCACTGACCTTTTTAGGGGTCTTACAACCAAATCAAACAGTCTATTCTGTGCTTTTGAGTATTTGAGAGATGCTGTGTACAGGGGCGACATGCACCTTTTTTCTATTTCTGTACTTTTCTTCTACTTCTTTCAACATCAAAGACAAGAAATTAGAAAAAAATGTACTTGAGTGTAAGATGTCACATACTGTACACTACCATTCAAATGTTTGAGATCAGTACCTTTGAAAAAAATCTCTTATGCTCACCAAGGCTGCGTTTATATGAATAAAAACAAAAATTTAAAAAATATTGTGAAATATTATTATAATTTTAAAGAACTATTATACTATTATAAAGAACTATTATAAAGACTATTATAACTATTATAAAGAACTAAAAAAATATTTTAAAATGTAATTTATTCCTGTGATGCCAAGCTGAATTTTCTTTTCAGTCTCTTTAGTGTCACATGATCCTTCAGAAATCATTCTAATATGCCAATTTGCTGCTCAAGAAACATTTCTTATTATTATCAATGTTGAAAACTTTGCTGCTTAATATTTTTGTAGAAACCTTTTTTTTCAAGATTCTTTGATTAACAGAAAGTTCGAAAAAAACTAAAGCATTTATTTGTAATAAAAATCTTCTGTAACATAAATGTCTTTACTGTCGCTTTTGATCAATTTGGTGCACCATTGCTGAATAAAAGTATGAATTAAAAGAACAAATCAAATTAAAATAACCGTTTACTGACCCCAACCTTTTGAATGTATAGTCTACATAAAGAAATAATTAATTGAGATATTCGTTGTTTTCAAAATCAGTCCAAATCTGGCACATGAGTCATTGTGGGTGGAGGTATGTACATGAGTTGAGAAATGCAGTGTGTGTTTGTGTATTTGTGCTGTTAGTTGCAGTGTGTGTATGTGTGTTCAAGCTGATAGTGACAGAGAGATGCTCATTATAACACAGGCTTTGTCTCCTGCCGTGTGAGTGACATTGAGCTGCCTTCTGCCCCCTCTGTCCTGTGCAGTTCCACTCTCCCTCGCTCTGATGAACAGATGAGAGCGGCCGAGCCAAACACAGTGGGCTGTTTCTTCTCCAGCATAATGTCAATTAACAGTCAAAGCATCTCAAATCAACTTAGCCTGACAGGAAACGACAAGTAATGGAGTAGATCACGTTTCACATTGCGTTTGACCCCAAGCCCATTTTCATTTTTCTGATTTTTCTCTCTTTTTTCTCCATGCCCCTCAATTTTCCCATAAATCCCTGTATCTTTGTTCCACGGATTCTTTTTAATCTTGCCTCTTTGTGCACACCATCTAATTTAATTTATCTTTCTTCAAGTCCACTTTCTCTCTCTTTCTTCTTTCTGCTGCTCTCTTACTTTCTCAATTTCCTCTCTGTCTGCCGCAGGGAGTTTATCTCGGGTCTGAGGGGCTTCAGTCAGTTCTACAGTGGCCTCGGAGAAGCTCTGTGCAGCAAAGAGCCGATGGCACTCAACAGCTCTCTCTGCTGGAACGGACAGGAGATGACAGACAAGTGAGTGTTTCGATCTGATGACCGTGTAACTACATACTAATACTGTGTTCTTCAATTTTAGACTCATATTCACAATACAGTGTGATTTAGCGTATAATAAGGACATAAATGTTAATTAAAACATTAAGTAAATTCATTAAGTGGCATCATTATACTTGCAGATATATTCTCTGACATGTAAAGTAAGACTAATAGTTGGTGCTGTGCAGCAGAACGAGTGTTTTGCAACATTGCGGTTACTGTGGACCCTTGCCAGGGTAGACAGACAGCATGTTTAATTTGACACGGATAAAAATGAGTGCACAAGGGAGCGAGTACAGCCTGATGAATAAGTTGTACTGTCTTAAGGTTCCAGGTCACGTTTAATTTTCACGGTAGCCCGTGTTTTCATTTTGTATGTGCATTTTGTCCACCGGAAACATTTTTTCATTGTTTTATTAGCCGAAAGATTGGCATCAAGAGACCAACAGTACAACCTATTAAATGCACTGTACAGCTATTCCTTTGCAGCCTTGTTTTCATTTGTGTCAGATTAAATATGGTGTATTTTATGATGGCTGGAATGCTAGTTTGACCAATCAGCATCCAGAACTCCTTGAAATGTTGTATAATATACGTTATTTCAAAATGGAAGAGGTTGTTATCTCTCTACAACCCATGCACTCTCTCTATTAGTGTTTTTATTCTGACAGTTTTTGCTAAGTGGGTAAAAGTAGCATATATTACAATAGAATCAGTCTCCTAAATGCTTTCCAATATTACTACAATCTCAAAATGGCCCCGAAGAGACATATTGCCCCCGAGCTTGTCACAAATCTTGAAGTCTAAAAAGCTTTCTGAATAAAACGGAGGCAGCTTAAGTGGCTGGTAGCTGAGCGGATGATTTTGTGTGTGTGTATCTAATGAGTTTGGCCAACTCCAGTTCCATCTGACAGGCAACAGGGTTGTGATTTGGTCTTTGTGGGGTAACTGATGTTGGGTGGTGGTGTGGTGGCTTCCCTGTGCTTGGCTAATTGTTCTTTTCCGTCATTCGCTCTGTGACTGCCTGTGCCTGGCTCTCCATGTGCCCTTTAGAACCCAATTTAAAAATTGTCATATTTCAGTACGCCATGTCCCACATGCTTCTGTCCCATAACTCTCTCACTCTCTCACAGTCCAAATCAAGTTAAGGTTGGCAAATGACAATAAATCAGTGCATCCCTGACCCAAACAGAAAAGCTTTAAGAGCTGCAGTATCTCATCCTAATGACTTGGAAATATCAGCTCAAAACTGAAGTGATCATTAAAGTCAGCATGAAATCAAAATGGATTCTATTGACTGTCTTAATGCTTGTTCCTGGTCTTATTGCACGGGAATGGTTTATCGGTGCACATTATTCAAAAGAAATCGGAATCTTTAATCAAAATGTAATAACTTCCTCTGAAACGACGTTCCTTTTTCGTTAATTTTCTATTGGATAATGTTAACCAATATCCAAATAGCTATTTAGTTGTTGTTTTAGCAAACTCTCATTTAGTCTGGCTCCATTCAAATATGAAATGGCCACTATTTACAATCAAATTGATTCCCACCCCACATTTTCTCAATGAATATTTTTTCTTCGCTTTGAAATGCATCACATTATAGAACAAAAATGAGTTGACTTTTCAGTTGACTTTGAAGAATTGTTTCAAGGAAGCTTAGATGTTCACATACAGTATCTTGCATAGCCTAATAAAGAAATGAACAGTTTTATATTTTAATTAGAATTTCTTGGTAAAGAATTATAACTCAGCACTAAGAAAGGAATAGTTCACCCAAAAGTGAAAATTTGCTGAAAATGTACTTAAGTGTGGCAAGTGTCAATAAGTGAATCAAAGAATCATTCATTTAATGATTCATTCAAACCAGCTGATTCATTCATGACCCCTGTATTTAAGAACTGGTCATTGTATCACTGACCTTTCATTCAAAAACACTGAATTATTAAAAAAAAAAGTGAAACACCACTCAGCGTTGCTGTGAGACGCAACTGTTCTGCTTTGTTTGGAACTTTTTTCGTAGGCAAATTAGTCTTTGAAAAAACTGTTAAAAATCTTGTGGTCTTGCATTAGAACTTAAACGCAATTGTCAGGCACACACTTAATTGAGAATTGATGCCATGGGCCAAATTAAATGAAAAACTAAAACATAAAATAATAATAAAAGAAAAGTCTCTCCCTCAGGCCATCCAAGATGCAGATGAGTTTGTTCCTTCATCAGAACAGATTTGGAGAAATGTAGCATTACATCACTTGCACACCACTGAATCCTCTGCAGTGAATGGGTGCCGTCAGAATGAGAGTCCAAACAGCTGATAAAAACATCACAAAAATCCACAAGTAATCCACATGACTCCAAACCATCTACTAATGTCTTAAGCAAAAAAGCAAAGCCCAAAAAAATCCAATCAGTAATACTTTACTTTATGCATGAAGGTACTTGCAAAAGAAAAAGGTTTCAGGCACACTTCCAAGACACCGTAGCATCAGTGACCTAATGGATAGAGAGTCGGACTTGTAACCAGAAAGTTGCAGGTTCAAGTCTCAGGTCCGGCAGGGATTGTAGGTGGGGGGAATGAATATCCAGCGCTCTCTCCACGCTCAATACCACGACTGAGGTGAGACCCTTGAGCAAGACACCGAACTCCCCTCTGCTCCCCGGACGCCGAAGCATTGGCTGCCCACTGCTCCGGATGTGTGTTCACGGTGTGTGTGTGCGTTTCACTACTCACTGCTGTGTGTGTGCACTTGGATGGGTTAAACGCAGAGCACAAATTCCAAGTATGGGACGCCACACGCCACGCCATTTCCTTTTCCATAAATATTTATGGATCTCATATGCGTGTTTCGAGTGTTTTTCATTTCATACAGAGCTGAGTACAGGTGAGCATCTGAGTGTTGGTTATGTGAGTTTTTAATTCATATCCCCCTAATATCCATTCTTGCCCTGTCTGTTTAGTGTATCCATTTTGTAATTGTTGAAGGTGTGTGTCTGTGAGTGTATGTGTCAACATTACAGTATTATGCACTATTAGCTGCAGCTGTTTGCTCTCCAGTAAGTGCAGTTGAGGAGTAAATGGGGCTGAAATGGCCTGGCCACAACAGCATAGTGAACAGTTGGCCTTAGGGGACAGACAGCTGTGTCAGAGGGCTCTCAGGCCCTCGGGAGTTAATTAGGACCCAAGAGAGAAATAGATAGGGGAAGAGAGAACGAGAATAATGATACTGTGCCAGAAATGTCCACCAAATCTCAATGTCATTCCTTGGCTTCTAGTGAAATATCATAATTAATTCTGGAACGCGTTCAGACTCATTGTATGCAACGTATTGAAGACAGAGCGATCCTTCACATTCTGTGCTGGGAAGGAAGCCATCATGATTGTGCCAAAGAATGTCACTGTTTATGTGGCCCTGATAGATTAAATAGTCGATTCAAAAATGTCAGAGCATAAAGAAAATTAATTCAATGCCACCGTCACATAAATACACTGAGCAGCTACAACTACATTCCTGCTCATTCTTTCATACAAAATACAAACTGTGCTGAAATGTTACTTCATGAACAATTACTACAAAAGATGATTTGACTGTAAAGTTAATTCCTAGCATCCCTGGTGTTTGCTAGAAATTAGTTTTTCTCCTGTGCTGGAGGGAGTGCAGAGGAGCCCTCAATGTCAAGGATCAAGTCACCAAAACTCTGGCACAGATTTCTGGCTTCTAGAGAATCAATTTTAGCATCCTGAATATCTGCCTTTTTAGCCAGTGTTTCCTAACTCTTTTTGTCTTATGTGCTCCCACAGGCCCTTCAGTTCGACTCAAGTAGCCCCTCATCGACCAGAATTGTGCTCCTCATATTATACTAGATATTATTTGGTGTTATAAATTATATTTTTAAAATGTCATGAATACAATAATTCACTGTTAAACAAACAAAAAAATATATAATTCTGTGGGTGAAAAACTATGACAGCATTTTAGTGGCATGTTAAAAAAAAACTAAGATTACGAGATTAAAGTCGTAATATTTTGGGGAAAAAAGTTATGAGAATAAAGTCAAAATTACGAGAATAATGTCAAAATAGTTTGAGAATAAAGTCAAAATTATGAGAATAAAGTTGATAAATTAATTGATTCACATGAGGTGAATACAGCGATCTGTCATGCCACATTAAATAAATATTTTGAATATTCTCAAAATATTTCAAGTTTATTCTCATAATTTCGACTTTATTCTCAAAATATTTTGAGTTTATTCTCAAAATGTTTTGAAATTGTTCTCAAAATATTTTGACTATTCTCATAATTTTGACTTCATTCTCAAAATATTTGGACTTTATTCTTGTAATTTTGACTTTATTCTCAAAATATTTCAACTTTATTCTTGTAATTCCAATTTATTCTAAAAATATTACGACTTTATTCTCAAAGTATGTCAACTTATTCTCGTAATTTTAACTTTATTCTCAAAATATTTTGACTTTAGTCTCGTAATTTTGACTTTATTCTCATAATTTTGACTTCATTCTCAAAATATTTGGACTTTATTCTTGTAATTTTGACTTTATTCTCAAAATATTTCAACTTTATTCTTGTAATTCCAATTTATTCTAAAAATATTACGACTTTATTCTCAAAGTATGTCAACTTATTCTCGTAATTTTAACTTTATTCTCAAAATATTTTGACTTTAGTCTCGTAATTTTGACTTTATTCTCAAAATATTTCAACTTTATTCTTGTAATTCCAATTTATTCTCAAAATATTTCGACTTTAATCTCGTAATCTTAGATTTTTGTCTTTATTTTTTAACGTGCCACTAAAACTAAAACTTATATTAGCTTGATTGACTGAGACATTTTATGGGAAGAAAATAGGATAAAGTGTTATACTCATGCGTGTGAGTGAGATTAAACAGCAGTGTCACAGAAATCTTCCGCTGTTTTTACACATGCACTTATGTTGTACAGTAAGTGTGATCCACACAAATTGACTAAACATAGGCCTGTTATTTTGTTTTCTTTCCTTAAAAAGTAGCAGAATGTGTGAAGCAGTTAATTAACTGCTTAACAATGTTATGACAATCCTAATAGTATTATTAAAAGTCCTAATTTAGTACTTCAAGAGGTTAGGAATCGCTGTTATTGCCTTCACCACCTCACCTTTTCATCTTTACGTTTGAAGGGAGGTTGTGGCAGACAGGCTTGTTTAATAATTAATTGAACTTCGAGAAATCTTTAACTTTAGGTCAAGATTGGTGGATATTTAGTATGTTTTACAAATCTTCCTCCGAGACCCAGAATGCTTCTCCTCCTGCTCAATAACCCCCTCTCCTTCAGTCAGCTCATGATGCTGAAGATACTCGTGATTGATTCTTGCCATCTCCAGCGGGTTTGGGCATTGGGGCATGTTGGATCTCTGATGGGTGCGCAGTAGGGCCATGAGTCTGAGCAGGTTCAGCATGAGTAGCTGGTCCAGACTGTACATCCACAGGGTGTTTAGTCATTTCCTGTAGTAGCAGTTGGGTTGCTTGTGCTCCCGCTGTACCATAATGCCTGTGGTGTGTTGTTTTTTTTGTTTTTTTTAGGAATCATAATGTTGAAGTCATAAAGTGGCAGATAAAATGAAGTAAATTTTACATTATAACATGCAGATAAAGCCAACAGCATTCTGTCTGTTCTGTTTTGAATAACGTTTAATTATGCAGTATGACAGTTAACATGAATGCAGTTCTTTCACTCAAATGATTTCTGGATCATGTGACATTGAAGACTTGAGTGATGGCTACTGAAAATTCAGCTTTGCCATCACAGGAATAAATTACATTTTAAAATATATTCAGATAGAAAAACAGTTATTTTAAATTATATTAATAATATTTCACAATATTGCTGTTTTTGATGAAATCTGACATTTCTGTTGTCCATTTAAAATCTCCTACAAACATGACATATATGCATCTGAATTGCATCATTCATGCAGAGTACATCTCTTGTTATTATATATGTCAACTAGAATCAGATAGAAGTTATGCTGTGTGACACTTACATATTAATATGTCAAGTTTTCAGTTATGAAACATCTTTGTATAAATCTTTAAATACTAAAATCAGCTTCAGATCAAATCCATAAGCCACAAGAACAGGCTAAACCGTGCTCATTCATTCATTCATTCATTCAATTTTGTTTCATTTCATTTACTTCCCAATTGCTTAAAACAAAGACTCAACATACAAGGACATTTTTAACCCACTAAGTAATTTGTGTAAATGAAGAGAATACCTGTTGGATATAAGTTTCAAATAATATTTCTTGTATATTGTGTAGTATTTCAGTGCTGCAGTGTGATTGGCCAAATAGAACTGAATCTTTTCTTTAATTTAAAACCTGTCTAATTAAAATGCATAAGATGTTTTTGTGCTGAAAGAATCCTCACCTCAGCTACCCATTACGTTTCTGCAGTAAAAGTATGATTAATTTGATATCTTCCCACTGTTTCCCCACAAATGCCCACCATCCTAATCAGAACAAAGCTGAGTTTTTCATCACGCAGGACTGAGCTGACCTGATGCTGCTCGACCCTGGTCAGCACACAGGTGGGCGCTTCATGCGTGAAGCTCCAGCTAATCTCATCCTCCATTAAAAGCTGCCCATGTCTTCTGATCTCCTCCTTCTAATGGAGCTCACGTCTGTATTATTAATGTGATAATTAAAAGCGGGAGGGGAGCTGCCATCGGGAGTAATAAGGAGAATAAATAAGTATGGAAATGTAATTTGGCTTAATGAATAAGCAGTGCGTGTCAAATAATGTGCCGTGAAAGATGATTGGATAGAATTGTTCAGGATTATGTCATTGCTAAGAATGGAGCATGAGGTCATATCTTTGGCTCATACATCTAAAAGCTCACAGCACTGCAAAAATCTGAGTTTTTCTTCATTCATTTTTTAGCAAAAGGTCCTTAAAAGTGCTAATAATGCATGTTGATATAAGAAATATAATACAGAAGAGTTAATTAAGTTTTATTTAGTTTCAAGAATTAGTTTAGTTTTTTTGTGTCATTTCTTTTTGCACAATATGACACAAATACAGTAAATAAAAAGCAAGAAAATACAATTCATATACAGTGCCGGAAGAGACAAAAATTCTTATTTTTATATGCATAATTAGTTATATATATTTATAGTTTTTATATATATATTTATATATATATATATTTTTTTTTAGTATTTTTTACAGTATATACGTACATTGTTAAAATTAATTAGTTTTTTGTCTTGTTTTCAGTAAAAATCTGTATGAAGTTCATATATTTTATATAAATATATACTTTTTTACTGAAAAACAACACAGAAAGTACAGTGTATGTTCTTGATGAGCATGGGCTTTAGTGGATAAGTCTAGGTTGGTGTCATGATGGTATCGGATCTGTCACTCACTGTCTTTCTGTCGCCTCAGTGCTTGCACCAATGTGCCCGTGTGCATCAACACTAATTAGCTTTTAATAGGGAGTAATTAACTGGAACATGAGTCCAAGGGGCCCGGGGGGATCGGGGAACACTTGGGCGCAGACACACACACACACATTTTTAGCAGTTGATGATGCCCAACATATGCTCCAGTTGCTCAGAAACATTCAGATGCCAGCACATGTCTGACCCAGTTGTGCTGTTTTATTGTTGGGTTAAGTGTGTGTATCTGTGTATCTAATAAGAGCTACAACAAAACAGGAATTTGGGTGGGAAAAGCATAATGCATAATTAGACTAACAATTGGAATCCACTCATATTTATGCTCCTGCTTTTTTTTTAAAACCTTGAGTAATTTTGAACAATGGAAAACCAAAAGGGATGATTTCTTCAAAAAGCCCTGGGTATCTAGAAATAAGTGTGGGGGGGGGGGGGTTTAGCCGTGAAGTGCCTTTGAAATCTTTGAATGTCCTTGTGCAGCGTGATTGAATGAATGTGCTGAATGGTAAAAATGAATTTAAAGGGTTATTGTGTTTCATTTTTGCTCAAATGAAATTCCTATGGTCACATGTTTGCCTCTAGGTGGCAGTAGAGGCCAATTTTAGTGCTCCTAGTCTTGTGGCCATTCACAGCAGCTTTGGTCAAATACCTTTGAAAACCAGGAACTGCTGCTGAAAAGTTAATGATATGAAATCAATTATTAAGATGAGTTCATTCATTTGAATGACATTTTTTTCTCATATACAGGAGATCGGGGCTAGTTGTCACATGGGAAAGGGCTTCATCTGTCACTGTCAGGTTTCAAGTCAAAAGTCCAGTTACACAATCGTATGTTTTCTCTAGCAGTGGTTTTGTATGTTGCTTTCTGACACCAGTGTGATTCAAAATTGTCCTAATTCAGAATATTGTTTGTTCTCTCTTTTAAACCAAAATTTTAATTTCAAAATGTAAATTTGTTTGAATTTTTGCTTTAGCCTTTGGGTAAACAAGTGAATATAATGAAACCATATATATTGTATTATATTTGTCAAAAATATATATTTTAAATATTTTAAAAATATAATGGAATATAATATACAATATGACAACTTATAAACTTAAATTAACTTATTTTATATTGCAATGTGGCAGATCAACTTGTGTTTAAATATTTTTTTCTTGACAGTAACAGTTTAAATGTTAATTGCTTTTAAAGCCAAGACCTTAATGTGTGTACTTACATAGAAATTGCTTTTTAAAAATGAAAACAACCCAAGAAATATTTACTGTAGTAAAGGTGCTACAACTAGCCCCGATCTCCATATATCACTTTCAATTCATAGACAGAGTGCATTAAAACCTGTAATTTTGTTTTTAATGTGACTAATGGACATTTGTGTCTATATTTTGCAGGTTTCCTGGTCCAGGGCTGAAGAAAGCCCATCCACACGGCTCAGAATCCAAACAAAAGCCACCTGAACCCGTCATCAGCCAGATCATCGACAAACTCAAACACATCAATCAGGTGAGTTACTGTTTATCAGAAAACATGCACACACTATTTTACATGTGAACTTCACTGTGCACATCTGTGAATAATCATATGCTGCCATGCTGTCAGTCAGCACACAGACATACAGCCGTACATAAACTCATCACCTCTGCTTTAACTCCATCACAACCGTCTGCCTGTCATCACACACTCAGATGCACGTCTGCACGCTGTTTTATGGCAGCGCAGTCTTGTAGATTATCAGGATGTGTGCTAGGGGTTGCCGGAATCTGTACGCTAATGCAGACAAAGCAGAGGCTTTCATTCACTTTCTTCCTGCCTGCCTTTAAAAAACAACAGCTGCGTGTCATATCACCTTGACTGTGTGTGTGTGAGTCAGGGTGTGTCTGCTTATATTTCATGTACAGTTCGTTCCCTATTGTGACTAAGATCCCACAGTGATATTTGACCCTTTAGGGCTTTCTGTGTATATACTCTGGTAATCCTGAGAGAACAGCATCTGGCTCATCTACAGGAAGTTCACCGGGCGATCTAAAGGTCACCTCTTTCTGTGCTTCCTCTCTACCTGCAGGATGTGTGTTTTTGGCTTGGTTTAAATGTATGTTGCAATGCAACCTTATTGTGAATGGCTATAGGCTGCAGTTAGTAAAGCTCAATCCAAGTGTGTGTGTGTGTGTGTGTGTGTGTGTGTGTGTGTGTTATTGGCACATTTAGCTCTGATTTTTACATTTACATTTCGATACATTTATTCATTTACTATTTTATCTGAAACAAAATTATGAGGAATACAACAAGCAAGAAGAGCTAACAATAGTCCAAAGTAGTAATGGCTAATACAGGGAGGGATTTAGTGAAAATGGTGAAAGAGAGGAGTTTTAAAAAGAACCCAACTTCGGATAAAAATAAAACAAATTCATTTTATAACTCATTTATTCCTTAGATTCGTTTTCCCACATTTCTAATTTCCTAATTTAGTTTATTAACTAATTTTGTTTGTTTGTTTGTTTGTTCTGCTTTATTTTATTTTTTAAAACTACTTTTTTGGTTTACTTTTTTATTGTTTTTAATTATAGACTGTTTGTTTTGTTTTGCTTGCTTTATTTTGTTTTTTATTACTACTTGTTAAAACTATTTTATTTTCTTCTGCTTTGTCCTATTTTGTTTTGTGTATTCCTTTTTTGTTTCGTTTTTAACATCGACTGTTTTTTTCTTGTCGTTAGATGTTCTGCTTTATTTCCTCTGTTAATACTTGTCAACTCCCTTTGCACTATTTTTATTTAATAATTTTTATTTAGTCTTGTTAATTAATTAAATGCAATTTCTTTTAATCTTTAATTTTATTTTAATTAAGTGAGAAATAAGAGTGTGGGGTCCTGTGTATATCTTGCCTTAATAAACCAGGATGATATGTATGTGACTTGCTATGCGTGTAGTTTTGTGTGTGTGTGTGTGTGTGTGTGTGTGTGCTATAGAAACCCACTGCAGCCTCATGCTCAATGGCCCCATCTGAGCGGATTAGCGCAGCGCTCTTGTTTAAACAGACCACCGAGACATCAGAGCGGCTCAGATGATTCGTGGGTCTCGTCTGCCCTCAGGCTGTGGAGAAGAGCTGTGAGGTCACGCCTGCCATGGGACAGGCCCTCATTTTCTCAGTTACTCTACAAACAGACCTTCTCTTCTCTTCTCTTCTCTTCTCTTCTCTTCTCTTCTCTTCTCTTCTCTTCTCTTCTCTTCTCTTCTCTTCTCTTCTCTTCTCTTCTCTTCTCTTCTCTTCTCTTCTCTTCTCTTCTCTTCTCTTCTCTTCTCTTCTCTTCTCTTCTCTTCTCTTCTCTTCTCTTCTCTTCTCTTCTCTTCTCTTCTCTTCTCTTCTCTTCTCCATCTGTGAAAGACTCACTTTGACCTTCTTCCCATCTGTTTTCTTCCTCCTGCGCAGCTCCTGTGAAGTGTCCAGCTGTTGTTTTAAGACACACGTCACATAATTTATGTACATGACAATAATTCACACACAATCAAAATGAAGATGTACCCTAGACCTCTGTGTATTAGAAAGAGAGGAAAAAGCATAATTAAGCAATGTCACGCTTAAAATTGTGCAGCTGATCTGAATAGCAGCATGGTTGTGAACCTCATACACACACGCACACAGATGATATAGATCTGGTGACTGTATGATGTCAGTGCTGTTCATGTCTGGTAAGCAAATGGCAAGTGCATTTCAAAAGACCTCTATGTATATATACACACATCTGTGGCCCCTATAAACACATAAACAAATGTGTAGACGCATGTTTGTTTCACTGTATAATGTCATAGACTTCCATTGTTTTTCTTTAGGTTAGTGATATATACATGTTTTGACCAATTAATTTATAAGCTTTTTTAACTAGTGAGGTCAAACAGGCTCAACTGTGTTCAACAGGTTTCACTTTATTAGTGAGGCTTTTTTTGAACAGTGAGGACCTCACAAGTACAGTCATGTAGGAAAGATGTTTGTGTGGGTTGTTGATTAAACTGTGTGCATGTATGAGATGTCTTCACTATGTCATTCTCTGACAAACATGAGAATAGTAGTGCAGTCAAATCAGTGCACAATGTCCTTAATGAGACAAAATGGGACAAAACACAACAACAGCGCTAGCCGATTTCACAGAAATCAAAAACAAACCAAATTAAGCCCCTTTCACCATGACAGAGACTTTTTAAATCATTCATAAAAGATTCATTCTTTAATAATTCATGTTCAATTCGAGTTCCGGCTGAAGGAGATGGAGCTCCAGTGAGTCTACAAAGTTGAGAAAAGTTTAACTTTATGCAAAGAAGCAGCTTCTACCAATGGTTTTTGGTTCATGCATTGATAATCCCTCTCATCGTGTTCACATTTGCTGCTCTTTATATTCAAAACTTTCCCCTATAAAACATTCATTTAACATGAAGAAAACTGATTCCTTGTGAAAACATACTAACTCTCCATGACACGTCTGTCTCGGTTGACCTCCCTCGATTATGTCAATGCGAACGAGGCTTTAGTGCGACCGGTAGTGTTTCCTTTACTTCACCAGCAGAAACTCAAACATGTTTTAATCAAATGTTCAGTTTAACTTAACCCTGTGATAATAGTTTGCATTTGGTCTTATCTGGCAACGTGCTAATGTGTGTTCTCATTTGTTTCCAATAGCCGGGGGTTTGAGTTCTTTCCCAGAGCGGACAGACAGAACACTCATATCAGACTTTTCCTAGCATTTCAGAAAGCCAAGATCTCATCTTCTAGCCTGGGAGGCTTGTTACTTTTAGTATGTGCTACATTTTCTAAGTGTTCTCCGGCAGTTCTATAAAACATTTTGGGTGTGGACCCATTTGATTTTATGGAGCAATAAGGTTTTTGGAAGCTCTTAACAGTGTTTGAAATATGTCTGTTCCCGGGGTATATAGCGTGACAAGCCTGTGTCCCAAAGAGTGTTAGTGTAGCGGCGCTAGAGATGGCTTGTTGGCTCAGATTTGGTCCTCTTCTGAAAGAGAGACACTGGGGAGTGCACTGAACACCAAAAGACAAAACTTTACCCTCCCTCAGCTCTGCAGACCCTGATTTCTCACGCCTAATGCGGCTGATGTAATGGCTGCGCGGGGCCAAGTTTAGAGTAAGCTCGTCTCTATAAATGAAAAAAATGACTTGGTGCTCAAGCTATTCCAACTGGGCAAGTGCTCAAAGAGTCTGTGTGTTCTTATCTGCATGCCTAAACATGACTCAGTCAGAGACAGATCTCTCAGGCCTAAATGTATGCGAGTTAGTGCATTAGCAGTGCTGAAGCTTTATCCTAGATATTTGATCAGGGGTTTCACATTTTTTTAATGCCAAGGACCCCCAAATATGATGCTTTGCAACAAACCCATACATAGTTTACTGAGGAAAAAAAGTAAATGTGATATAAAAACATATCAACATATACAAACATTTTCATATTTCATATGAAATATTTTCAATAGTATATTTTCGTCAGTGTAATAATTTCAATAGTAATGATCAGTTATCAATGTTAAAACAGTTGTGCTGCTTAATGCTGTTGTGGAAAGCGTGATACATTCCTGATTCTTTAATGAACAGAATCAGCATTTGAATCAAATGGAGCAATAAAAAAAAAACATTTATTTAAAATCATATATTAACTCTTTCACTGACCAGTTTGGCTACTGGCCATTCAAAACTTATACTAGCCAAAACCAAAATATCAAGACTAAACCAGATTATCAAAAACACAGCTTAGATTTAAATGTATTTATTATTAAATCTGATTCTGAATCAAGAAATGGTTTTCAGGTTTACGACAGTCAATCACAGTTTGTGAATACCATTACAAAAGTAATAAAAACAAAATTCCCTATGGCTTCTCTTATAAATCAGCAGTTATGTCATTTAACGATGTATTCAATTTATAATCAATATTGATAATCAATCTATTGAAGCTTTTCCTCCATTGACATCCATTGAAAAATATGTTACAAATATTTGTCTCAAATCGTTGTTAATGCAGTTTAATAAAAGAAAAAAAAAGTTGTGCAGCAGGATTTTAAACAGCCTCTGGATTCGGGTTAGCAAGTGTTAAATTCAAACCCTACATATACTGAATAGTGGCAGTGCATGGCGGAATTTCTGCTTGGCGGAAATGGCAGAGATGTTCAGAGATGAAGCTCATATAGCACACACCCTCCGTCTGTCTTCATGTGTGTTTGTGTTTGTTCCCATGACTGTCAAACATTCACTCGTGCTGATCTGTAAAGTCTGCAGCGTCTCTTCGTGTTTATACAAGAATAGTGAGTCATTTGTGGACAGTTTACTTCTTTGAGGGGAGTTGTTAAACTACAAAACCTCCAGTTTGTTCTTAAAAATTAACCTTAATAAATGTGTAAAACCCTCAGATCAGTCTACGGCTAAAAATCCCCCTGCGTTAAACTTTTAAGGACTAACATGCTGAAACAGAGTTTCTATAAGTAATTTGTCTGTCCAGAATGAAAATGAA